GGGAAAGAGCCCCTACTCACACAGGTATGAGAGATTCAAACTAAATGAAAGAAAGTTAAGTGCTGGACATAGCAGTTGCAAGTGAAAAGAAAGAACAATGGTCTCACAATCTGAACACTATATTTAAAAACCTAACATTAAAAGGTGTGTCTCTGTAATGGAGAAAAGAAAAAAATTTTAATTAGTATCTCAAATCAACCAAGTGAAACACGCAATATAAATAAACTGTATGGGGACTTCCCTGGTGGTCCAGTGGATAAGACTCCGTGCTCCCAATGCAGGGGGCCTAGGTTTGAACCCTGGTCAGGGAACTAGAGCCCACATGCCACAACTTAAAGAGCCCACATGCCGCAACTAAAGATCCTGCATGCTGCAACGAAGATCCCACGTGTTGCAACTAAGACCTGGCACAGTCAAATACATAAATATTAAAAAAAAAAAAAGAATCTATATGAAAATGGTTGGACTCCACCTCATCAAATGTCACAGAGGTTCTGTCAGAGGGATTGTATGAGAATGGTTCTAAGAATCAATTTACCAACTATGTAAACAAAGAAGTATTCCAGAAACATCTAAACATTTAAAGTTTAAAGTGTAAGATGTAGAGAATGGACATGAGGACATAGGGAGGGGAAAGGGTAAGCTGGTACGAAGTGAGAGAGTGGCATGGACATATATACACTACCAAATGTAAATTAGATAGCTAGTGGGAAGCAGCCGCATAGCACAGGGAGATCAGCTCAGTGCTTTGTGACCACCTAGAGGGGTGGGATAGGGAGGGTGGGAGGGAGATGCAAGACGGAGGAGATATGGGGATATATGTATATGTATAGCTGATTCACTTTGTTATACAGCAGAAACTAACACACCATTGTAAAGCAATTATACTCCAATAAAGATGTTAAAAAAGTAAATAAAATCTAAAGCATAAGAACAGTAGAAACCATAAACCTAAAGATGGACCAAGTCCTGAGTAAAAAAGTATTTTAAAAGGTCTGAGTAAAAAATATTAAAAAAACCCCAAGTATCAAGAAAATGAAAAGACAAGCCATAAAATGGGAGAAAATATTTGTAAAAGACATATCTGATAAAGGACTGTTATTCAAAACGTATAAAAAACTCTTAAAACTCAACAATATGAAAACAAACATTAAAAAATGGGCCAAAGACCTAATAGACACCTCACCAAAAAGATGTGCAGATGGCAAACAAGCATATGAAAAGATGCTCCACATCCTATGCCATCAGGGAAATGCAAATTAAAACAATGAGATACCATTACATGCCTATCAGAATGGCCAAAATCCTGAACACTGACAGCACCAAATGCTGATGAGGGTGTGGAGCAATAGGAACTCTTTCATTGCTGGTAGGAATGCAAAATGGTACAGCTGCTATGAAAGACAGTTTGGCAGTTTATTACAAAACTAAACATACTCTTACCATATGATCCAGCAGTTAAACTTCTTAGTACTAACCCAAAGGAGCTGAAAATTTATGTCCACACAAAAACCTATACATGGATGTTTACAGCACATATACTCGTAATTGTCAAAACTTGGAAACAACCAAGATGTCATTCATCAGGTGATTGGATAAATAAACTGTGGTAAATTCAAACAATGGAATATTATTGAGTCCTAAAAAGAAATGGTATCATACCATGAAAAGACTAGAGGAACCTTAAATGTACATTATTAAGTGAAGTAAGCCAATCTGAAAAGGCTATATACTGAGGATTCCAACTATATGACATTCTGGAAAACGCAAATTATGGAGACAATAAAGTGACCAGTGGTTGCCAGGGGTTAGCAGAGAGGGATGAATATGCAGAAAACAGAGGACTTCTAGGACAGTGAAATATATAGTATCTGTATGATACTATAATGGTCGATACATGTCATTACACATTTGTCAAAACCCACAGAATGTACCACACACCGAGTGAACTGTAAGGTAAACTATGAACTTTGGGCAATAATGATGTCTCGATGCAGGTTCATCAATCGTAACAAACAGACCACTCTGGTGGGGGATGTGGATAATGCGGGAGGCTGTGCATGTGCTGCCATTTTCTATAACATCCAAATCAATTTTTTGCTATGAACCTAAAGAACCTAAGAAACAGTCTATTTAAAACAAAAAGGTCAAGTACAAATCGATGAAAAGTCAGGTCACTCCAAAAGAGAATACCAACCAGTTACTTAACACCTTTAGGACTCAAATTTTTCTTCCTTTAAAAAACGAATAACTTGGCGCAGTGGTTGAGAGCCCGCCTGCCGATGCAGGGGACGCGGGTTCGTGCCCCGGTCCGGGAGGATCCCGCATGCTGCGGAGCGGCTGGGCCCATGAGCCATGGCCACTGGGCCTGTGCGTCCGGAGCCTGTGCTCCACAACGGTAGAGGCCACAGCAGTGAGAGGCCCGCCAACTGCCCAAAAAAAAAAAAAAAAAAAAGAATAACTTAGATTAGGTATTTTCTAAGGTCACTCTCAGCCACTTAAAAGAATGAGGCAGCTCTCTTTGGCCAGACACAGAACAAATGCCAAGGTGTATTGTGAAGTGGGAAAAAAACTAAACAAAACCTAACAAGGTATAGAACAGACTGCACCTTGAAAAAAATACATGCACACACACACACACACACGGGCATAACATATCTCTGGATGCACAAGAAATTCTCCTCTGGAGAGGGAAACAGGGAAGCATGGATAGGAAGAAGATTTCATTTATACCACATCATACTCCTTTCTACCCTTTGAATGTTGTAGTATATACACAGATTACCCAATCAAATGGTTAGTGATATTTTAAAAAATAATATATAAATAAACAGAGAAAGAAAACTGGAGACAGAAAAATATTATGAAGTTTAGACATATGGCCTCATCCTTCCTTTAAAAAAAAATCAGAATTGTATAAGGTACACAGCACATGGCCTTTACACACATGCACACAACACTGATTGTTCACAATCTCAGCTGTTTGCCAGGTACACAGGCCCTGTAAACTGCACCCTGCTTCCACAGGTGAGTTCCCACATAGCCCCTGCTGAAATCTCACATACAGACTGGAGAGACCAGTACCAGGCCTCCTTACTACCAGTACCATGCACAGTACTAGAACAGAACAGAACTCAATGTTCAATGAGGAGACTGCCCCATGTCTTTTAGAATCTTCTTGCAGCCCTTCTCTGAACTAAGAAGGGAGCTAACCACCCAATAAGATTTGTTCTTGCATACCCACCCACCCAATTTGGCCCCAAGCTGAACACAGCTCCCTCTAGTTCAGCTGCCAGTTGCTATGGTTACAG